TCCTACCGCTTAACCATGAATAAATGGGCACTGTTGCCGTCACGCGCAACATGACATGATGATGTCCATGATTATCTCGGCGCGTTCTCCAGTAAGTGGACGTAGGAACCTCTGGATCAACAAAAGCGGAACGACAGCAAAACATCCTTTACAGCAAAAATCGTATTAGTAAAGCTTGGTCTTTCCAAATAAAACAAACTCTTATTCCTTACCCAGTGTATCATGTCTTGCCTCCAACAGTTGGAATCCGTTGCCCGTTGCTGTTGATTGTTCGCTTCAGGTCGATGCCGCTTGTCTGCGAAAAAATTCGATGATATACTGTCAGTGCCTATATTACATCGCTGGTTGTTTTTTTCTGTAAGTTTACCTTGCCATCTGCCCAATGCCAGCCGTCGACATGGCGAGTGTCCAGTGTCCAAAGCAAACCGAAAAGAAAGACTAGCAAACCATAATTTTTTTTCAGTATAGCGAAACACGTCTCGATATTGAATAATAAAAACTCACCATATATGAACAACTGAAAAGAAGTTGCCAAAAAGATGGTCTCTAAAATAAGGCTGCCGCCTCATTCGTTCCAGTCATGAATGCATACTGTTGCTGCTGCCAAGAATACTGCGACTAAATAGAATGGCCATTAGTGTCAGAGCACAAAACTGTCTGATATTCACAGCTTACCATCTTTATACGCGTCTCTCCGAATTCCGTTCAGTGATCTTCCGTAGAGTCGCTTTCCTCAGAGTAGTGCCGTGTCAGTGCAATGAACCGTCGCTTTGATCACTAATCTTGGTCGTTAATAATGAGCATTTCGACTGTACATCGCGGCTACATCGTCGTTCGTACCTGAGTCATCGCCCAAGTCTTCATCTGAACCTGCCTTCGTCGCAGCGATTGAGTGCGGATGACTCGTTAGCTAACAATGCTGCTTCTAATGACCCAACCCCATGGCGAATCTTTATTCCAAAAAACAGTGCCATGCGTTTTGGGTCGGCCAGGTGAACAAAAGAGGAAAAAATAAAATAAAAAGATAGGTGCGCCCAACATGGGGCCAAACAAGAGGCAAAAAAAATATCCCCCAAACAGGTTTCGCGTTACAAATGCTGCTGCAATTTCAAGATGACTTTTTTCCAGAATCAACCTTCCCTATACATTGCCAGGACGATGCCAGAGACGATGCCTCCATTTGCTCTCCCTTCAGTGAGCTTTCGCACGCCAACGCTGTGTCCCATCGGCGATATGGATGAAGTGCTGGTACCGGTAATAGCTTATAATTTACCCGTAACGCTAACCTTAATTAAAAGAGGTATAATCAGTAAAGAGATGCGGGTACTCGACCTTCCACATAAAGAAAAAACTTTAATCTTTACCTGATGCATCTCCATCAGTTACAGCTTGTGTTGCTCAAATAGTTCGGAATCGCTGCCGAGATCTCGCCATTTTTCCGCGAATTCTGCCCATGGCACATCGCCAGCGCCAACGAATACTGATCATTTAGCCGATCTGCCTCGTTATCCTGTCAACCTATGGAACGATAGACTGCATGTGAAAAAATCATTCTAATAACGCCTTCACATGAAAATAAAACTCACCATGAATCGTCAAGCACAAAAATTGGTCCAAATTAAGGGAAAGTGCCCGGCGCCAACTGATTGCCTATACACAGAAACTTTTGTTACAATCGGAATAATCTTCAGTCGCCCTTGTCATTGTGCCACTAACCTTGGCTGAACGGATACTGTTGTTGCCGTTTATTGTGCAATGGAACCCGGTAGAAAAAAAAAAAAAAGGAGAATCCAAATAAAACAACCGCTCTGATGCTACCATAAACATGCGTGAGTGCCACAAGCATAGCAATACCATCAATCATCAACGTCTTACCATTTTGGTCTTCATCTCCGGCTGCGAATTTTTCGCCAAGTTGCGTTTCGTTTTTTTCCCCCAGCGTCAAGGGAATGGACCGCCATTACCAGTGTGCCAGTTATAAAATTTGTTCACTAATAATGTTAAGCTTAGTGTGCCTTGGGCATTGAATGTGTGGGAGATCGGAAAACGTTTAGCGGTTGAGTGGGGCTGTCCGGATAAAAAACGATGATGGCAAAAACGAACGTACGGTACAGGTCATTGAGGCTGCGAAATAAAGGACGATTTTGGCGTGTAGCAGACGTTTTGCATAATAAATCAGAACAAGAAAAATATGAGCATTTCGATGCGGTAGAAAGAAAAAAATGAGGATATCTGAAATCCACCTTCTGAGCAATGATCCAAATATCGTGCGGCGTTGACGAAGAGCAGAGAAAAGATGGTTGCCTATTTTGATTGCTTGGGATCTGTTTGTATTGCCGAAAAAAAAAATTAGTTCCCCCAAGAAAAAAAAGTCCCCTTGATTTTGATTTTCAGTGTGAATACAAACCATGAAAGTGTGGCCTATCGATCCTTTAGACCCCTCAAGATTTGAGGCTAGAGGTGCCAGAAAAGTTACCACAGGGATAACTGGCTTGTGGCAGCCAAGCGTTCATAGCGACGTTGCTTTTTGATTCTTCGATGTCGGCTCTTCCTATCATACTGAAGCAGAATTCAGTAAGCGTTGGATTGTTCACCCACTAATAGGGAACGTGAGCTGGGTTTAGACCGTCGTGAGACAGGTTAGTTTTACCCTACTGATGTTGTTATGGTATTGCGACAGTAATTGAAGTTAGTACGAGAGGAACCCTTCATTCAGATAATTGGTATTTGCGGCTGGTTGAAAGGCCAATGCCGCGAAGCTACCATCTGCTGGATAATGGCTGAACGCCTCTAAGTCAGAATCCATGCTGGAAGCGATACTTTTTTGTTGTCTCCTTGGCTTTAGTCGAGTAAGAATAAGCCCCCGCTGTGGGATTGGGAACCGTATAATTGGTATGCCTAGGCTATGCGGAAAGGTGTTGTTTAGGCTGCCTACATGGTAAAACGAATGCATGGAGATGTTAAATCGCATGCAGACGACATGAAACGGACGGGGTATTGTAAGTACTAGAGTAGCCTTTGTTGCTACGATGTACTGAGATTAAGCCCTTGTCATTGAATTTGTTTCTTTTTTCTACAAGGAAAAGAGACACACTTTCAGTACGATTGGATTTTTTGAATTCGGCATTATTGGGATGGTACCTACTTGGGGTACTATCCCAATTTTTGTCTTTATTTTTAGTCAGTTACCTAGCAACGGTTTCAGCTTGGCCTATGCAGAGAAATATAGGCTTCCAGTTACTCTAAGTTCTTTAGGTACACTGGGCTGGCTTGGTACAAATAGAAAGACAAATCAAGCGTGGTGGGTGTATCGATGCACGTGATTACCAATATATCACTCTGTAAAATATTGTTTGTGAATTCTCCATGCACAATTGTGTGACGCCGCGTCGCTTCAATGTGTTACCCGTGATGCCACTTGTAATGATCATCATTGATGAATGTGCACGTGCCAATTTCCCTGCTTTTTTTTTTTTTTAGGTGTGTGTGTGTGGATTTCCAAGCCTGGTGTTACGTAATCGAATTGACAGTGTACCTTCCTATAAATAGCTCGATTAAATTGCACGCAAATAAAGAATTAGGACCCTTTCATCTGACCCATTGTGTCACTGTACTCCAGTAATACCGACATTCATTTTGATTGATTTGCATGAATGTTTTTCTTTAAAAAAACTCATTTTGTGTCATCCCTTCTATCAAATTCTGCTCCAATTGATCCTTTGAAGATTCTATGTCCACCAGGTGTCACAGAAGCTCAATTGAGGTTGTCAGAAGCTCAGATGATTTAGGGCAATGATAGCAACATAGTTTTTTTTTTTTTTTTGGCTCTTTTAGCCCTGGCAATCATAAAAATTACTCTTTCTGCCATGACCTTTTCATCGTGATCATTTCCCAGTGGCACTTTCATGGTGACCTTTCTATAGTGATCTTTTTCCAATGACTGTTCTACGGTAATCTTTTTATGGTGGCTCTTCTGTGGTGACATTTTTGTAATGACCTTTTTTTGGTGATCTTTTAGTAATGTCCTTTTAACAGTGTCCTTTTCGTAGTGGCTTTTTTGCAGTAACCTTTTACGATGATGTTTGTACGGTGATCCTTTTACGGTGGCCCTTTTTATGTATGATACCTAGGCATAATCTGATCATTACATCATCTTTTATTTACTCCAATTTTCACTGCCGTCAGCAAATGAAGATCATGTAACCATACACTGTGTGAGTTAAATACACTCACAACTAACTAAAAATGACATTTGTGACTGTACCTTTTCGATCGTTTACTTCTTTGAACTGTGTTCAATGCCTCCCCAACTCACATTAAAAAGAAACGAGAAGACAAAAAAATATTAACGAAAAAAATATTAACGGACGTCGACACGACGACATTCACAATGTAACGACAAATATTTGATTTTACCCTGACTTTTTATTCACAAATATATCTTGTGCAGGATTTTGGGTCAGTTTCCCGAGGAATATCGGTCTTGGTTTACATCACCTTGGGTATCGAAACTATCATCGAAACTATATGAGTTGCCTCCGCTCAAACGTCAATGTCACCCCTCTTTCCTATTACCATTGTCGCTAATAATAATAATAATAATAATTATAAAAACACTCACAAAACTTACTCTTGCTCACAGAAGGTAACAATGATATTACCAACCATAATTAGAGAGAGAAACGACATCCACTGTCAGGAATTTGAAGTGACAAGCTACCCTTACATTAAGTGGTCACCACTGCACACACAGTGTCCGTTGCTTTTGTTACTTTTATCCAAAACCACCAATATTGACAGGTTCATTTGTAAAAGTTGTCTGATTTAGTTCTTCTTCTTTTTGGACGATACTCTACAAAATCACTTTGAGCCCTGTTTCAAACCAAAACCACTTTTTAATATAAATCCACCACATCGTTTTTCTTTCCATATTCCTTCTGTTTCGACCTTTCTGTTGTCACCCTCTTTTATTATTACATCTTTTTACTTTTACCATCATCATGTCCAACTACTTTATTCCTGACCTCGTTAGGTATGATTGCCCTGTTCTTTTTGTTGGAATCAATCCCAGCGACAAGGCGCCCTTCCGAACAAAGAATCACTTTTTTGGGGGCCGCGGCAATTGCTTTTGGACATGCTTCTCAAATTCAGGTACAATTTCACAATTTTTTTTTAATAATAATTAAAAAAAAAGATGTCCACTGAGACCGGTACCTCAACCGTCAAAAAGGCTTGCTTCGAGAACAGTATGATGCCACCGCTGACAAGACAGTCTTTGACCGTTACAACGTGGGGTTCGTCAACCTTGTTCCCAGACCGACGACCACGTCCAAGCAACTTGAAGCGGACGAAATCGCCGAAGGTGTTCGCCACACCACCAATAAAATCAAACGATTCCGGCCAAAAGTCGTATGCTGTGTTGGGAAAATCGTTTTCCAACACCTATTCAACCAAAACCCGGCCATTGGCCCGCAAGACGTTGTCCTGCCCTGGGACAACGGAGCTGGAGCATCCAAAGTTTTTGTGATGCCCAGCACAAGCAAACTGGGGGCCACCTATTCTTTAGAATTCAAGCAACAGTGAGTTTTGAGAAATCGCAAAAACGACTTTATTGCCTTCAATATTTGACTTACACTTCATATTTGACAGAACCTTTTGCGAGCTTACTCACTTTGTACATAACACTTGCATAGCATCCACCTCTGCCACCACCTCCACCTCGACCCTAAATAGACAATAAAGTGTATACCCACTGCGACCTTTGCATAATGACCTTCTTCAACAGTATGCCGGAATTTCTGCTGTGATTGTATTACACCGCGATACCCTGTTGTGTCCTTTTCATGATGACCCTTTTTCAATATACACCGCGATTCTCTGCTGTGTCCTTTTTATGGTGACCCTTTTTTCAATATACACCGCGATTCTCTGCTGTGCCCTTTTTATGATGACCTTGCACTTGTACCAAAACGAACTTTTTAAATGTCAAAAGTTAATAAAAGACACCAACCTCTCTTTCTTCCACGTGTTAATCAATACCTAAACATACATCATCAGGATTGTACAATGGGTATGGATCCTAAAGCAATTCATCGTCTCCAATTGTTGATTTTTTAGAACCTTCATCAACAGAGATAATCTTCTGGCTCAGTTTTTGCCACCGACTTTTCCAAGTAGACAAAGTCCTCTTCTCCGTTTTGTTCGCCCTACCATCAACGCAACCTTCCTTAGCATTTTTTTCTTTCCCTCTTCCTTGTTGAAACCTACTTATTCACGTATGACTTACTGCCTAAGTCTTGACTCTCTAAAATGGTTTTAGAGTAGGATCACCTTTTTTTTTTTTAATCCCCATGCTCAGCACCAACTGTCTTTTTTACCTTTTTCAACTGGTTCAACTTCATCAACGTGGGCATTGCCATTAGCGACAGGTTTAACTGCAGCAACTTGTTCTTCCATAGCATTTTTTTCGACGATATCTCGTTTAATCGCTGCAGCTACTTCTTCTATAAACTTTTTTTTCTTCTTGTATCCTTCTTCGTATCCGTCTTCAAATCCATGGAAGTATCCATGCCGGTACCCGCCTCGGGCACCCTTCTTGTATCCCTTCTTGTATCCCCGACTGAATCCATTGTTATATGACTTCTCAACCTCGTTTTCGGCTCCTAAAACATCCACGCCCTCTTCTTCGGCGTAAAGAGGTGCTATTTTTTTTTTTTTTTTTTTGGATCACCCAAAATCGAATATTGAGTTAGTTTCATCTCTTATTGATTATTCTATTAGAAACTGACTTACTGGGGAAGTTGCATAGATTTGTTTTTTCGACGTATGCGCCATTTTTGTCAACATGTGCGCCGTTGTTTTTAACGTGCATGCCATCTTTTTTAACAAGTACACCATTTATTTCAATAGATCCAACATTTTTTTGAATGTCTGCACCATCACCTGAAGCCGAAGGCGGACACATTGTGGAAAATATGAAAAAGAAAAAAAAAAGAGGAAAAAGAGGGAATGGCTCACCACTTGTTTTTTCTTTTTTAAAATAATGATCCCCACACAAAGAGTACACATGATTCCCCCATCACGGTTTACTTCAAAACCAGGTTTCTCTCTACTTTCACACAACTACTCACATGCACAATATTTTATATTTTTATTTTTGGAAAGACAATACATGCATTACAATTTATTTCGGCTGCAAATTACCCGACTCATCCGGTGCTTCATCTTCCCCAGCCTTATCATCTAAACAGTATAACACTTAGTTGACCCATTGCCTTTTAATAAACAACGTTTTCGTACCTTTCCCACTTGCGACCATAATTTCACTCATGGAATAATGTAATTTTGCAAGTGACGCCAATTCCTCCCGATATGAATGAATCGGTTTCTTTTTTTTCGCTGTGAGCACCTCTTCTTCTTCTTCTTTCGGTTCTTCTTCCCATTCAACCCAGTTTTCTACCCAGTCTTCTATCGATTCTTCTTCTGATGCTGTCTCCTGTTCATGTTTTGGCTCTTGTTCTTCTGCTTTTTCTAATCGTGTCACTCGCTCCTTTCCTTTGGACCTTTTGCCTGAAGGTTTGGGCAAAGATGGCTCATAATGTTTCATCTAAATAACCCTATTACATTTTCGCTCAACCTGCTGCTCAAAAACTCTATGCTGCACACATACTTTCAATTTTCCTAGTGCTATTTTTTGTAGTTCCGGTCGATCTTTGTTACTTATTTCTACGCGCACAGTTGACGAATCTTGCTCTTCTTCAACCGTGCTTACACTCCTCTCGGCCTCCTAACCAATATTCAGATACTAGTATTGACGTAATGATAATGCTTTCTTTCTTTTTTTTTTTTTTGCACTTACACTTCCAATGACATTACTACCAACTCATAATCATTAGCTATCGTGCTTTTTGATATGTATATCATATATACTTGTGACTAATACAATACCTCTTTTCTTGGCTACCTAGTGAACGAGGACGTTTCATCTGTTCATCCCTTCTTCTTTCTTCCCCAGGACTTGGTATTTTCCTCCTTATAGGTATTGCGAAATTACTGCTATTTCTTTCGCCCAGACTTTGGTATCGGCTCCGAGCATTCGACCGTGTTCTCGGGCCTCTGCTGCTTCCTTCACCCGGACTTTGGTCTCGGCTCCGAGCATTCGATCGTGTTCTCGGGCCTCTGCTGCTTCCTTCACCCGGACTTTGGTCTCGGCTTCCCGTACTTGACCGTGTTCTTGGTTGTGGGGTACCTCGCCCTCTGCGAGATGTCACTGGTGCCTTGCCTTTTCTTTTGCCACGTTGGCTTCCTCTCCCCGATTGTACAGGTGCCGGCTGACTTGATGGTACAGCTGCTGGCTGTCGGTTATTATTACCCTCCCCTTGCAATGGAATATCATCTTCCAGCTCTTCTTCAGAGCCAATGTCTTGAACCGCGATATTACTTTTACATTATAATATTAAAATAAATATTCCAGAGACGCTTTACCTTGGTTTCTTTCTTCTACACGTTTTACTCTGGATCCATGGCCCCGATTTGCAGAATCAATCTCCACAACGTACTGATCTTCTACTGTCTCCACTGGAAGGTGCAGTGTCGTTGCAAGACGCGTAACCGCTGCAGTTCTTACTCCCTCCGGTAACAGATCTGGACCTGGCAACACTTCGAATTCGCTAGCCCAGATTGTGATGTATGGGTCTAACTGGTACCCTGCATAGTCTGCAAACGAGTGGTGGAAACCTCCTCGGCCCACCACTAACATATACACCCACTGACTTTCTACTTGTTCCAGTAATCTAACCTTATCCAGCACTGCTTTCTCACAATGCACACGATACGGCTGTTCTCTTTTTTTTATACAATTATTAAAGACTGTATAAAACTCTCTTCAGCACTTGGACACTTACAAGGCATTTGGAAACAGTTGGAATTCGTAGTGCCCTGGCTGGTTGACTACCTCTCTGATTGTTCTCACGAACACATATCCATGCTGAATAATTATAAAACTGTACATTATCTGCAATTTACAAATCAGTATCCTTCAACTTACGTACATAATTTTCTCTAAACTGACTCCATAAAACAACCTTTGTTTTTTCCTTTTTGTAGCGAGATAAGATAAAAAGTGTACTGAAACTGACCCCACCCCCAAAAAAACAAAAAAAAAACGAAAAAAACTTTTTTTAAAGAAAAATAACAATCAAAAGTATGATTACCCTTAACCCCTTATTTCTGTTCATCTCTCAAGCATATGACCACAATCATCACAAACAAATAAGTATACATTTATATAAAAAGAAAATAGAAGGCGAACGGAGAGGCTAGCAGAATAGATGAATCAACCCCATCAATCAATCTCAGGTTTAAACAACATACAATACCTGCATTTTTATTGCTCTACTTCTGCTACAAAATCTATAATTGATTTTCTAAAAGGTATGCGTCTACCGACTCTTCTCCAGTCGTATCCAAAAAAAAGGATATCGTCCGCAGAACGTACCCTTGACATGGCAACATATAGTTGGCCATGTGAATCCATATTGGACGACAAAGATACAGCCACTTTACTCACTGTTAAGCTCTGAACCTTGTGGATCGTGGCTGCATACGCTGTCGTCAAAGGGAATTGCGTGCGGGAGTAGCTTGTTGACGGTATTTCACGTGTTACTCTCTGTACGCCAAGTACAGATTCTTCGTCATCACATTTTGTCACAGTGATCAAATCTTGGGCAATATCTGACACAAAACACATGGTACCGTTCGTCCAGCCACGAGCAACATCCAGGTTCTGGAGCAGTAAAACAGGTATACCGATACGCAACTGCAACACCTCATCCAACTGTGTTCCCCGTAACGCATTCACGGCTACTCTTGCATTACCAAGAAAGTGATCCTCTGCCCGAAACGTATGCCTCTCATCCACTACTGATCGCATCATCTTTGCGTTCCAGCGATTCACTTCTCTTCTCGTGGTGAACAACACAAGGTAACCAGCGGGGATTTCCTCAGCCAAGACAAGTCTGTCTATCCAAAACCTCTTGACCTCTTCATCAAACTGACACATCCGTACCTTGTTCAGCACGCGGAGAAACATACTGTCTTTCTGTCGTTGCGACACCTTCAACACCGCCAGTTCCGCTCGTTGAAACCACACGTTGGCCGTTATAAGGCCTTCAGCCGCCGTCATGGGAACAAGCTGACAAAAGTCACCAAACATGCACATCCTCACACCTCCACCATGCCAGCGCTGATTCGTGGCTTCATTGAGGACGCGATTCAACTGTACCATTAGCGTGTTACTGATCATGGAACATTCGTCAATCAGCAACAATGTCCGCGGATGTTCCTTTACGACTTCATCGATACGTATCGGGTTGGGTACATTACTTTGATTTGCCATTCCAAAGTAACGGTGAATTGTCTGTCCACCAATGTTATGAGCCGCAATGCCAGTTAAGGCGAGCTTGACAACCTACCACAACAAGATCAATTTATTTCCTCTTCTTTTCTGGTGTGCGTGTATGTATGTATGTATGTATATATGTACATGTGTATGTGTGGAGGGGAAAGTTGGTTTTTTTTTAAAATTTTTTTTTTTTTTTTTTTACTTACATTATACCCTGCTGCTTTAAAGTGTAATTCCACGACGCGTAGCAAGTACGATTTTCCACAACCGGCACCTCCCAAAACCACGCAGGGTCTACGTCCCTCGATGCTGTTGACCACCATGTCATATGCTGCACATTGTTCATCCGTCAACGTCAACTTTTGCCGTTCCAGACGCTCCGTAGTTGATTCAGCTAACTCCTCCAGGTTATCCGAATCGTCAGCATAATGAACATATCCTTGGAGTGCTTCTGCCAATTCAATATCCCCGCGCTCCACCAAGGCATAATATGCATCTATTTTTTTTTTTTGGAAATAGCATTATAAAAAAAAAAAAAGAAGCTGCCCACCTTTTTTTCTTTCCCTCTACTATACCTCTGACTGTTGGGAACTGCCGAGTAAAGTCCGCAATACTCGGACATGCATAGTTGATTGCAATTTGTTGGAAAAAGTACACGTCTCCAGCACTAGGCTGGAGAGAACGTGTACGCCAAAGAGGTATTTTTTTCAGCCGTAGCCGCCAGGTTCCACCAAAGTTGTCCATAAACGTCCTTGGTAATGCTTCATTGTGATATGGTACATTTACCAAGGCTGTATTTAAACGTCTCTGGCGACTTCTGTTTGGGCCTGTATACAACGTAAGTTGATATTTGGTCCATCTTTGGAAATCCCCTTAAATGGTAAACACTTGCGTTCCTGTTCTTCATCATCATCATTTTCATCGTCATCGTTGTCTTGATCTTCGTCATTCACACCATCGCCTGTGTTGTTGCGCGAATATTCTAAATTGTAGAAGGTATACAATTGCGGCAGTGTCAGGCGTTGCACAGAAGGATGCCTGCTTCGTGCAGCATACCTCTCTAGTAAAACGAAACAAAAAAAAAATATCATCCATCACCACATTTATTGAAAATCCCATCCAGGACTTTTCTTTTCATTTTTTTTTTTTTTTTTTTTTTTTCCCTTACCGAGGTGGGATCGGGTAAAGATATTTGTCTCACCACCTTCGAGTTCGCGAACATCACGACGCAACTGCCGGCGGTCATCTTCAGGCATGTTCATGCTGATATATATGACCCCTCGGCTACTGTGATGCTTATGATAGCCGAGGAGATCATACACAGCTTCCACCGCACCGACCACCCTTCCATGGAAATGTTGACGTCTGTCGGTCATGCCATCATCTGTTGCATCTCTGACGACATCCACGTTGAACAGTGAGTCGTTCTTCGTGATGTACTTGCATAGATAGTACAGAGCACGACGACCCACATTCAACTGGATGTCCATGTTCACTTTCAGGAGCCGCAGCAGGAACGGGTTGTATGTATTGATGTTAGCGTCCAGCGCTGTTCGTTCATAGTGGTAACGACCGTCGGCTTCATAGGGCTCTGCACATGGTTCGAACGGAAACCCGAAACGGCAAAAAGTACTGTCCCCACGTATGCAGTATGGACTGCAACGGTGAATTTGATACCTTTCAACAAGGCTGCGCAAAGGATCATCCTCAGCAGGCATCCTTGCCACCACCACATCCCCACGTGCCAACAACTGCTGTGCTGTCTCCACCGTCCAGATTACCATGTGAATATGAGGGGAACCACGGTCCTGGATTTCCATCACCCATGCCCAGTCCTTGATACCTCCAATTTTTCTGGCGAAAATCTGTTATACTTTATGTGAGCTTACAACACATGGATCCTTTGACTAACTTTTCCTTTCTCTACCTTGTTGATGTACTGTGTCAGTACTTTCTGCCACTTTCGATGAAAATGCATTGCAAACTGGACAGGATCATCCCACACGTTCTCGCTGGAAACCGACTTTCTTACATCAGGCGCAAAATCATCGCAAGTGATGGTCAGGAACAACTAGCACAAAAAAAAAAAAAAAAAAAAACATACACCGCTGCAGTTTAGACACCAAATCACATTTGCTCTCTCTTCTTTATATAATATACCTGTGGCTCTCCTAATTTATCGAACAAACACGCCATATCCAGATATGCCTTTCTTTTGTATGCGTATGATGAACGAATGATGTGTGGGACACCAGAAGTTCGATCCTGTCGAATCTCAGGCACACCTGTACCCGGATCGACGCTCACAACATCCTGTTGCTGAATAGCACCTCTGCCTCTTGTGTTCACCACTCGTCGTCTGTAGGAGGAAATATTGTGCTTTTCTATCGCGTCTAGCATGAAGAACAAGAATGACGGATCTCGTGCAAAGCGACGGTCGGCAAGCAACAGACAGCGTTTGGCATATCCTTTGATGGTCTCCCCGTCGCGAGTAGCCATTGCCACTCCACCATACTCCTCCGGCAACGCCGTGTTCTCTGCAGTTACTTGAGCCATCGAGTAGTGCCCACGTCCGTAGGTAAACAAATGAGGGAACATGAGTGCCATCAAAGAAGGGTGGCTAAACTGCACGTCGTCGCCACGGGTATCTTGGCCAATGCGAAGACCTTCCACACGAAATGCTTCATCAGTTGCTGACGGCGGAATGTCCTCGATTGGAAAAACGATTTTATTCCGCCACCCACTTGCGGCACCCACTTTATGATGGTGGGTCTCCAGGTGGTATTCCACGAGCTCTTCCACCACCTCCGGATCCTTGTATACTTGAAGCAATGGGTTGCACTGTACAAGTTTGTCCCATACTTGTTTGATTCTTCTTGGCCGCAACTCTTTTTGAATCAACAACAAATAAATGGTAAATTATCAAGCGTATGCCACTCCACTTCTGCTGTGCATAAAAAAACACTTACGTCCAGGAACTCCATCCTGATAAAACATCCCCAATGTCCCTTCGTACATCATTTGCGCAAATTCATAGTTATGGCGCATCCATAAACTACCGGCCAACTCATAATGGCCAACCCGCCCGCTGGTGATAGCCCTCTTTCTCGTAATCTGGGACATAATCTTCACTGGCGAAAGTGCACTTCTTTCGCGATAATTTAGCCCATTCACCATCGCAATCGTAGGTCCAGGGTAGACATACACCGGTTCAATGGCACAGCTTTGATGCTTCTTGCATACTACCACACCGCCATCGTCACTGCGAGAAATGGGTGCTAGGCCCCACTCCTGACATGGCCAGATCGTCGATGGGTTTACACTCTTACGAAAGTAACATTCCTCCTTGTACAGCATCTGCACACAGATCGCACAATAATATCTTGGTACTTCCATACAATAAGTCTCCAAATTGGCAAAGTGCCTCAAATCATTTCGAGAAACAGCAAAGTGGGGTCCTTGAGCAACGTTAAAAATAGGAAGTTCCATTAAAATAAAGATACAAATACAAAAGAAAAAAAAAAAAAAAAAAAAAAAAGAGCGAGAAAGAAACTGTAACCAATTCAAAGGTGGGTTTATCAGCAACGGAACATTCAATACTCATGACACTGGAAATAAAAGAGTGACTCGTTCTTTTTTACTGAATGATAGTAGAGGCCCTTCTTTCCGAAATTACCCACAAACTCTTAACGTGGACAAAAAACCTCTTCCCTTCCATCAACCGCAGAGGGGAAATAGGATTTTCTTTTTCTTCTTTCTTTCTTTCTTACCTTTTTCCTCTCTTTCCTCTGCATTCCGGAGTGAAAAAAGCTATTTAACAGACATACTAGAACGGAAAAAAAAAGATCCCTTCTCCGTCACAAGAACAACAATAACCGCACTCATTATTGTGTCTTTGAATCACTAAAGACAAAGAAAGAAGGATATTAACGTTTGAGACACGCGGTCAATGACATTACACATTTTACCTGCAATGTTCAATCATCCGTGTTTTCCTGAAGAGCAGCGTAAACACACTGTAAATACACAACCTCGACATGCAGTTTGTCATAACTCTCTTTCCCCAACACCCCTCCGGTGTAATGATACATTCGCCGCTCTATTTCGCCAAAAGATTAAACAAAAAAAAATAAAAAGAAGAAAAAGCCATCAGCATCTGCATCACGCGATCAGTGACAGTAGGCAATTTACCTGCAAGAACATTCAACGATTCCATTTCTCCATGAGTGGCATGAAATGTCGCATAAAGTCCTATGCCCTTTACCTAATACTAAAACTGAGAGCGGTATAAGAATAACCAAGCGGAGCATCTGTTTCAGTACCGTCTGTATATACTACAGCACATTGCAATATACTACGTCCAAATGTTCCAAAATGCTTACCGCCTGATCGCATTATCATCCGCTTTGAATAAAACCAAGTTGGAACTAGCTAGCAAACGAAAATACAGACAGTTGACTGATCACAAAAGAGTTTTAAAAAAAAACCAGACAGCAAATTTCTGAAAGCTAATTTTCAAAGTCCACAGTACTCAAATGAATGAAAAGAATACATGCCCGCTATGACCTTTCTCCGATGACCTTTCCCCGGTGACCCTTTTCCGGTGACCTTTTTCCGGTGACCTTTCCCCTACCATACACGAAATAATAGAAGAAATAAACAATCCCCTACTCTGACCTTTTCATGATGATCTTAAATAAAACCTGAACGGCATGGAGATTATGCAGTCCCCCTGCTATGCCCTTTTCATCATGACCTTTTTTTTTAAATACCATTTCTGAATGGAATGACCAGAGTTAATTGTGGAAGCCCGCTTGCTGGATATTTTTTTTTACTGTATTAAGAAAAAGGGAATAAAATCGAAACTGATAACAGATCAAAGATGTGGCCGAATAATAAAAATAAAAAAAAGCGCTTGTACGTCTTATAAAACTCTCATCTTTTTCGTTCCCTTTCACTGACCTTCTTTTTTTTGGGGGGGGGGAGAGGGGGCTTATGGGCCACTATATTATCATCAAGATACTGTAACTGCTAATGCCTGATACAAATGAAACATACGACATTCTCGGTGTCTTAGCCTTGGTTATAAAAATGTGGTTGAATTATACGCTACAATTTTCCTTCTCTTTCCTTCTTTTGATCCGCCCCCTCCCACCCCCCCCCCCCAATGATCCTCATCACTGCATCCGTTCGCCTTGCTTCAGACCCAGTGTTCTCATTTACATCACAAAGTTATAACATATCAGTAATCTTGAGGACCTCGTCCTCAGGCACCCCCATCACCGTATATTGTAATTCGAAAACGATGCTGTGGGCGGCATTAAACTACATGACAAAGGGATCCTCTTGGATCATTAAGGGTAAGAGTTGTCACTTATTCGATCCATCCATCACAATTTTGACGCCTTTTTCCAACTTTAGGTGAATCCCGAATTAGCGCATGGGTGAACGAAAACAATCGTGCCCGGGTTAACGTATCCCTGACCCTGGATGAATTACGAGAAGGATTCATCATGAATCCTGACGGACATATTGTCCGCCAGGGACAACATGAACACCCACTGGTCTTTAGAGACGTCGACGAAACCCCATTTACTGTCAAAGACAAGTATGAATTGCTTAAAAAAATCATTCAACTTCCCGACTCGCAGCTTTCGTTTGGAAGTCAAACTCATCTTCCGGGCCTACGAGAGTTCCTTGAAACTCTAGAGAAACAAGGTAATCATCTTTTCTATGGACTATTATTACACTCCTCTCTTAACTTTTTGCCTCACCCTATTTAGTACAAGCAGAATCACCCCCGAATGAATTGTCGTCACTTGACGAGTGAAGATTTTTTTTTTCATTTTACTTTGCTCTTGACTCTTGGCTCTTGGCTCTTGGCTCTTTGCTCGTGGTTCTTTGCACTTTGCCCTTTGCTCTTAGCTTGTGGCTCTTGGCTAGTGGCTCTTTGCCCTTTGCGTGTTTTCTCTTTGTGCGTCTTTTCATTTTTCATTCCAATATTTTCACCACATAAAGAATTTTTTTTTTTTTTTTTGCTGGTCAAATCATCGTCCGTTTCAACTTGTTCGTAACACTTAGCATTAACCATCATTTATCTCCTCAACGCTCTTGCTGCTACCATTGTTCGAGCTAGTCGTTTGACATATAACATTTGGATGGATCCGTTCTGAGGCAAATTGTGGTAAAGAAACGGTGACAATGATATGCATACAAGCATCATTAGGGAAAGGTCATCAGGAAACTGTCACAGTATGTTCACTACGCAATTGATATCGATCATACGAGAACGTCTTTTGGAAAACACTTCTTCACAACAACCTCACTTACGAAATCTTAACTTCAAGAGATCCTATAACACACACAAGCTTCAACCATCATCCAACAATGGCATCGTTATATATTTATTTATTTTTTTTTATTTTTTTTGCATATGCAGTACAATGTCCCCCTCCCCCCTCTTCTTCTTTTTTCAGAATTCTTTTGCCGGTAACAAATAAAAACAAAAAAAATGACAAAAAGGTTTATTCTCTCTGTTCATCTTGTTGTTCCTCCTCAAGATGCTGTCGACGTTGTGCCTCGCGTCGTTGCCTTCTTTCCTCCTGTTGTTGAACATGACGTGCAAAACGCTCATTCCTTCTTTGCACATAACGTCGCGCCGTGACAGCCGGACCTCCCAAAAACGGTCTCCCGATCGTTGGCCTCACAGGTAAATGGTGAATGTATCTCATATGCTGATACATTCCTGAAGGCCTCCGAAAATTCATTTCACAGGTCAAGCAACGTGGAGGACGAATGCTGAACTCTGCCGGTGGGGGGCTGGGTGACAAAGACGCCCTTGGTGCTGGCGACGGAGGGGTAGGCGACAAAGACGCCCTTGGTGCTGGCGACGGAGGGGTAGGCGACAAAGACGCCCGAGATACTGGCGATGGCGGGGTGGTCGACTGGACATCGACCGTTGGTGACATTGACCGTGGCCTTTCCGATGACAATGGTGAAGACGACTCGTTCTCCACCGAAACACTAATTCACACAATTAATAAAAGAACCACACTACGCCATTTGCTCAACAACCCCCAGCCCGACACACACACAAAAAAAGGCCCACGACAGACTTACGAAAACGATGGTTCATTGGACGATTCATTCGTGGGTATAATTGAAGATGAGGGTGATGATTGCAAAGGTGGAACGGTCAACAAAGGCAAGGAAATTCGATTGGTCCTGTGCTTACGCCTCATATGGCCCCGTAAGCTGCTCTCACTGGAGAACTCGGCATTGCACTGGGGACACTGCATGATAAAAGGTGTTGATGAACACGTCATAAGTACAATACCTCCCTCGGTTTTTTATATCTTTTTAGTCGTACAAGTCCAGACCTTGTCAGTCACAGTCCATCCTTTCATTATTTATTCATCAGTTGTTGAAGAAGAAGATCATATGCATGTAATTACGACCAATTCAAGCTACATTCCCACGAATGCCGTTTCGTAATGACTGTTTCGTAATGATTATTTCGTAATGACCGTTTTGTCATGACCATTTCATGATGACCATCTCCTGCAAGATCGTTCAACTGTGGCAAAAAAAAATAAAAAAAAAAAAAAGACTTGATAACGCCTATTCCCTGCTGATTATTTTTTTACATAATGATCGACAATGACCAAATTGATACATCAAAACATGATACTGGTACGCTTCAGATAGAAAAGTAAACCAACTGACAATTTTTTTTTCTTCCGTCTCCCTCCAGTGGCTTTTTTATCATGACCATTTTTTTCGTATTCTCTTTCTCAAGGCGCAATGCTCCTACTGTTACTACTGTTTTGATCTACTGTTGTGATATGATATTCCGAGTAAATGCGTTCTGAGGTCAGTCACGATAAACGAAGGGTACCGAGTATACACCATAAAAAGGTCATCACGAAAAGGTCACTGGTGCCAATTCTTCTGTTTCTGCCCCAAAAACCAGAACCCCCCCCCCAAAAAAAATTTTTACGTCTACGCGATTATATCGCAAGCTCTCATAAGAGCACCCTCTATCTCACTCGTTGCCTTTTTACATTTATCGTTCGTTTACTTTACCTAAACAACCTCTGTAACATAAAAAGAGCCACCCACCAATTTTTTTTTGTTACAACATAATAAAGGTTTATTCTTCCTAGTCATCATGTTTCTAACGTTGACAACCAATATATCAACTCTTTCTACGCTTGACGCTTCCTTCCAAATGTTCATGTTGCTGCTTTCGCCAATTGTTGGCATTCCTCCTCTTGTTGCCAATGGAAAACGAAATCTCTGATTCCCGTTCAACGTAACGTCGGCTCGCAACAGCTGCACATCCCGTGAATGGTGTTCCGGTCGTTGGCCGCACAATCAAAAGATGACAGTAATAGATGTGTTGGTCCTTGCCAAATCATCTCCGAAAATCAATACCACAGGTCAAACAGACAGGCGGGCGAACAGTGAATATGACCACAAATAGACTCTCGGAGACGATAACACTGGCTATGAAGAGTGGTGGGCAAGCCGACATTAGCCAACGGTGACAGCAATGATAGCCTTACCAAGAACAAAGATGAAGACAACCCGTTGTCCGCCAAAAACAACTGATTCTCACAATCAATAAAGGAACAAGACTACGCCATCTACTGGAAAAAAAAACGCACAACAACTTATGAAAGCAATGGTTGATTCCATGGAATGCCTGGCAGCAAAGACAACGGAAACTTGTAGCTCTTATGCTTCCTCTGAATATGACCCTGTAAGCTGAGCAAACGATTAAACTCAGCGTCACAAAAAAAAAAGAGACTATGTAATAAAAAGTAGTATTGATGAAGATCTCCCTCGGTTTATCTTTTACTCCTACAAGTCTGGACCTTCCAGTCACAGTACCTGACGCCTCTAATTATGACCGGCCGGCGTTATCTTCTCTCGAATGGCATTTCCTAATGACCGTTTCACAATGATCATCTCTCGCAGCGATCGA